GTCTAAATACGGTATAAAGAGTATTGGGCTCTATCCAACAAGATGCAGCTCAGTGAGCAATGAAGATGATTAGGGGACTGGAGGTTAAGACATATAAAGAACGGTTATAGGAACTGGGCATGGCTAGTCTAGTGAAGAGAAGGTCCAGGGAGACATGATAGCAGTGTTTCAATATTTGAGGGGCTGACATAGAGAGGAGGGGGTCAAGCTATTTTCCAAAGCACCTGAAGGCCAGACAAGGAATAATGGATATAAACTGATCAAGGGGAGATTCAACCTAGCAATAAGGAGAAACTTTCTGACAGTGAGAACAACCAACCAATGGAACAGAAGTTGCCTTCAGAAGTTGTGGGAACTTCATCACTGGAAGCTTTCAAGAAGAGATTGGACTGCCATCTGTCAGAAATGGTGTAGGGTCTCCTGCTTAGGTGGGGGGTTGGACTAGATGACTTACAAGGTCCCTTCCAACTCATGTTATTCTGCATAGGTATAGAATAGGGGGTGGCTCAACCTCCAGGCTCAACAGTAGTAACTGTGAGAGGGATTTAGGTGCCTTAGTGCAGGGGTCAGCAACCCGCAGCTCTGGAGCCGCATGTGGCTCTTTCATCCCTCTGCTGTGGCTCCGTCACTCAAAATATTACAACTGCCAATGTGTAGGCCAACTATGGATAAATCTAAGAAAAGAAAAGTTTCAGAAGAAAACGTTTAATTCAACTACATATACTAGTTCTGAGGCTGCTCGGGAAATAGTCGGGCACGGGAAGGGTTTTGCGGCTCCTGGTGTTTTCTTTTCTGTGGGAAACGGGTCCAAATGGCTCTTTGAGTGTTTAAGGTTGCCGACCCCTGTCCTAGTGGATCATCGCTTAAGTATGAGTCAGCAGTGTGCTGCAGTTGCCAAAAAAGCTCTAGGCTACATCAACAGAGAGATAGCATCAAGATCATGGGAAATGACAGTACTGTTTTATATTGCACTGGTGAGATTACACTTGGAATATTCTGTGTCTAATTCTGGTCACATCACAAAAAGATGCTGAGGCCCTAGAAAGAATACAGAGAAGAGCAACAAAAATGATAAGGGGCCAGGAGGCTAAATCATACAATGAATGGCTAAGGGAACTAGGTATGTTTAGCTTAATGAAGAGCTCAGGGAAACATGACAGCAGACTTATGACTGGCCCTTGTACTTATGAGCAGTGTTGCATTGCCATGGTCATGTGATCAAAACTCAGGCACTGTATTCATGATGGCTACAGCGTCCAAAGGATCATGTGATTGCCATTTGCGATCTTCTCAGCCGGCTTCCAAAAATGCAAAATCAATTAGGAAAGCCAGATTTGCTTTATAACCGGATGATTCACTTAGTAACTGCAGTGATTTGCTTAACGACCATGGCAAAAAAAGATCATGGAATCGGGCGCGAGTCACTTTAACGAACACCTTGCCGAGCAATAGAAATTCTGGACCTCATTGTGGTTATAAGTTGAGGACTACCCATAGACTATTTTGGAAATGTCTTGACAACATTGAATCTAGACTAGAGCATGCTTATTCGTATCTAGGGTTGCATCGGAAGACCAAAAAATCTTCTGCAAATATGTAGAAAACTCTAGAAAATAAGCTAAGAGATGTCTGCAATGTCATGAATTAAGTTTTATAATTCAATGTCATGAATTTACGTTAAGTTTTATTATAATATAATAAAATTAAGTTTTATAAAGCTACCACTTTATAAAGCCTTGGTAAGACCACATCTGAAATACTGCATCCAGTTTTGGTCACCACATTAGAAAAAAAGATGTTGAGACTTTGGAAAAAGAACAAAGAAGAGCAACTAAGATGAGTAAAGGCCTGGAGGCTAAAACATAATGAAGAAAGGTTGCAGGATTTGTTTTAACTAGTCTAGAGAAAAGAAGGACTAGGGTGGATATGATAGCAGTATTCCAGTATTTGAGAGACTGCCACAAAGAGGAGGGGGGTCAAATTATTCTACAAAGCACCAGAGGACAGGACAGGAAACAATGGATGGAAACTAATCAAGGAGAGAAGCAACCTGGAATTGAGGAGAAATTTCCTAAGTAAGGACAATTAACCAGTGGAACAGCTTGCCTTCAGATATTGCGGGTGCTTCATCACTGGAGGTTTTTAAGAAGAGACTGGACAGTCGCTTGCCTGAAATGGTATAGGATCTCAGTCACTCATGCCCTTGTCACCTCACGGTTAGATTATTGCAACACACTCTACATGGGGCTACCGTTCAAGAGTGTTCGGAGACTACAGTTGGTCCAGAATGCAGCTGCACGAGCTATTGTGGGTGCACCTAGATGCACCCACATTACACCAATTCTCCACGAGCTGCACTGGCTCCCTATTGGTCTCCAGGCACAATTCAAGGTGTTGGTTATTACCTTTAAAGCCCTACATGGCTCAGGGCCAGGCTATCTTCAAGACCGCCTTCTACCGCATAGCTCCCAGCAATCAGTAAGATCCCACAGAGTTGGTCTCCTCCGGGTCCCGTCAGCTATGCCAGCTGGCGGGCCCGCGGGGGAGGGCCTTCTCTGTGGCTGCCCCAGCTCTCTGGAACCAGTTACCTCCTGAGGTCCGGACTACCCCCACCCTATTGGCCTTCCGGAAAGCAGTGAAGACCGGCTTTTCCGGCAGGCCTGGGGCCGCTGATCTCGCTGTTCAATCTTGCGAGATCTGGCCATGGATGGTGTGCATGTGTTTTTAATGTTTTTAAAATGCTTTTATAATGTTTTTTTTTTAAATTATGTTCATTGTTTGTATTATTTTTGTTGTAAGCCGCCCAGAGTCCCTTGGGAGTTGGGCAGCATAGAAATATTATTAATTAAATTAAATTAAATCTCCTGCGATGGACTAGAAGACCTCCAAGGTCCCTTCCAGCTCTATTCTAATTCCAAATGATTCTAAAGTTCCCTTCTTCCAATCCCTAAAGCAGCTGTGCACTAAAAAAACGAAACAAATAGCTTGGGGTCGGGTAGGGCGACTTAGGTAAATAGAGTTTATTTTAGAAACAGGGGGAAAAAAATGAGCACTTGCTTGAAACACATGGAAATAGAACCACCAGGAGGAACCGTGAAAGTATTTTGATTCTGTGACATTTTTGTGCATTATTTGAATTGCAAAGCTGGGAGAAACTCACTTTCATGGCTAAAATCCGTATTATTGTGTTGCCTTCAGAGAGAGACATCTGCAGGTGGTTAAAAAAAAAAAGAAGTCAAGATAGCAACCATGCCATCTTGATTTTTTTTTTTTTTTAACAGCCTCTTTTCAATAGGCCCGGGGTACTTGCAGGACCATCTCCAGCCGTTCTCACATCGTCCTGTGCGCTCTCACAGAGTCGGCCTCCTCAGGGTGCCGTCGGCCAAACAATGTCGGCTGACGACCCCCAAGGGGAGGGCATTCTCTGTGGGAGCCCCGACCCTCTGGAATGGATTGCCCACTGAGCTCAGAACAGCCCCCGACCTTCTTTCCTTCCGTCGCGAGCTGAAGACGTGGCTCTTCCGCCAATTAAACTGATCCGTTTGGGGGTACACTGGTATAATTTTAAATCGTTTTTTAATTGGGTTACTGATTTTAATTTGGTATTGTATTGTGATTTGTATTGAAGTTGTCATTTTGTAAGCTGCCTTGAGTCCCTAGGGAGAAAGGCGGCATATAAATCGCAATAAATAAATAAAAAATAAATAAATACCTCTGTTGCTCTTTTACCTGATCTGGCTTATTTTTCAAGTATGAAGATGCAGCAGCATTAATGGATACAAGAGTTCATTTTTCCTTCAAACTTAGCTCAACACCGAACGATTTTACTAAAAAAATGCAGTCTCTAGCAATTTGGGAAACAAGACTGTCCTGTTACAGAGCCAAGACGAAGATTTACTGCTCTCCGAGGAATCTTGGATTAAGCTGGGAAGCCTCATAACTAAATAGGCTCATGTGAACCAAGAAGTCCTTTTCAGTGATCTAGCACAACAGCTCCTTCTGCTTGGAAATACTGAATTTAACAACTAATGAATATCAATGTACTTGAAGCTATTAATCATCCCTCTTTACTGAACTGTAACTCTTAGGAAAGATTAAGAGAGCTAAAAAGAGCCTTGATAGTACAGGGGTTTAGTGCACCCTGTTATTAACACAGCTGCCTGCAATTTCTGCTGGTTCGAATCTCTCCAAGGCTCAAGGTTGACTCAGCCTTCCATCCTTTCTAAGGTAGGTGAAATGAGGACCCAGTTTGTGGGGGCAATAAGGTGACTTTGTATAAAATATACAAAAGAATGAAGGCTATTGCTTAATGCATTGTAAGCCGCCCTGAGTCTTCGGAGAAGGGCGGCATATAAATCAAATAAAAAAAAAAAAAAACTCTTAGTGGAGGCAGCTACAAGAAAAAATTAAACCAAACCTGAAATGGAAAAATAGAGAAGCTGGTTGTATAGGTATATAAGCTGTTGGTGGTGCAGTAGTTAGAATGCACAATTGCAGACTAACTCTGCCCATGGCCAGAAGTTCGATCCTGACCAGCTCAGCCTTCCATCCTTCCGAGGTCAGTAAAATGGGACCCAGATTGTTGAGAGCAATATGCTGACTCTGTAAACTGCTTAAGAAAGGGTTGTAAAGCACTATCGAGTGAATATTGTTATATGTAAGTTTTTCAGAATTATTTGTACTTAGTATTTCAGACCAGTGGTGAAATCCAAATTTTTTTACTACCGGTTCTGTGGACATGGCTTGGTGGGCATGACAGGGGAAGGATATTGCAAAATCTCCATTCCCACCCCACTCTGGGGCCAGCCAGAGGTAGTGTTTGCTGGTTCTCCGAACTACTCAAAATTTCCGCTACCGATTCTCCAGAACCTGTCAGAACCTGTTGGATTTCACCCGTTTCAAACACCATCCTGTATGAACAGAGACTTCGTTTAAAGGTTTCTATCGGAGACAATGCACACCTGAGGCTCACAACATAAATCATTCTCCACGCCACAAAGGACTTTCAAAAAGATTTTGTATTATAAATATATTGTCTTTTTCACAAAGTCCCTCCATTGGAAAATAAAGTTTGGTATTGTTGGTAAGGGAAGTATGAATTTTCTTATACATATGGTTTCATACAAATTCCGACTTGCTAGATAAGGCACAGTGCTCTATGTTTAAGTCAGAACTGATCTTGTCTCCATGCCTTCATGGGGTAAAATTGTTCTTTCTTACAAAATAAAAGCAGCAGTACATTTAAAATTACAATCTTGAATCACAGTGAAATTTAAAAAGATGAGCCGTACTTAGACACACACAAAAAAAGTCATTTTCTAGAACCTGCCTTCAAACAGCGTCTTCCGGCATATGCAGACAAAGCACAGCTGCAGTTCTGTTCAAGCCTTTTATATGTGGACAGTTAATGGCTCATTTCTTGGAATTAGCTCAATTTATTTGTGAGACATAAGAAGAAGAAAAAAACTATACTGGGAGGGAGAATTTGTTTTCTGAAGTTTTTTTGGCACTTGGTAAAACCAAGCAATTTGGAGTGAAGGCCCAGAAAGCACAACTGGCTAGGAGTAGAAATTTTGAGGTCAATCAAATCTGGTTTATAACCCTTAGCCCAGTTCTACAGAAATGTTCAGGCACAAGTGTTCGAAACCAAAAAAACAAGTACCGTGTTCCCCCGAAAATAAGACCCCGTCTTATATCTTTTTGAACCCTGAAATAAGCGTTTGGCTTTATTGCCATGCACTCAAAAGCCCGATTGGGCTTATTATCAGGGGATGTCTTTGTTGTGGTCCGCCAGCAGCCTGCGAAGCTGGCAGCGGAGTCGGACAGCGATGAGGCTGAGGAAGAACATGGGGCAGTCCTGGAGGCTGGGGAAGGCTCGGATGAGGGCTCTGCGTCCGAGGCAGAGTTGGGGCCAGGGCCATCAGGGAGTGAGGTGCGGACTCCAGAGCCTCCAGAGCCTGATAGGAGTGAGGCAGAGGAACAGGAGGAGCCTGTTCCTAATACACTCATGAGAAGAGCTGCCAGAAGGCAAGAGCAGCTCAAGCAAGGAGGACAACTCGGGAGTAGGGCCAAGAGATGATTGGCCCCTCCCATAAGGCTTAAAACAGACCAGCAACGGCGTTTGGGCTTGGCCAGAAAACAACTTTGGTAGCTTCGTCTTCTTTGTCTATGTTTTGTATTTATTTTTGTATCTGTGACTTCTGAACGTTTGCCAAGAAAGGCCTTTGGCAATTTGCCTAATTGGACCAAGGTTTGTGATAGGACTGAGGCATTTGTGTTGGGAGAAATTTGCTTTAATTTAGTTGGATGACGCTGGGAATGAAGTAATTCTCAGCTGTTCGAATAAATTTGTTTGTTTTTTCACTGACTGATTTTCCTACTATTTACTTGGGCCTGGGTCACAACAGTCTTATTTGGGGGGAAACAGGGTAGAAGTGATATATAATACCTTACCATCCAAGCAAAGCACTTGACAGATGATGAAAAGTTCATATATCCATTCTGCTTCCTTCAAAAGCTTGGTGTCCCTACAGAAGATCTTTTTTAGCCATGGCATCTTACAGACGTTAACAATGAAATATATCACTCAATAAAAAACATTTAAATGGGTATATCTGCAAAATATATATATGTATATATTTTGTCCGTAGATAAAATATTTGTCCATAGATGAAAGAGTGATTGGCACTGGAGACAAAAGTTGGAGTGGAATAATTAGTGTAAACTATCAGTGTTAATCAAGGCAATGAGAAAGGGAAAAATAATTTGGACTAAAAAAATAAAAAGGGGACTGGTATCATTCAAACTCTGATAAGGCACACCGTCTTCGAAACTCTTGCCCACGTTCATGGATCCATTTATTGGAGACTATAAAAGAAGAGGAAAAGGAAGTATTTGTTAGGTCATAAAATTTCCATCCTGCCTTCCCTTCAGAAGCTCAAGACAATGTACACAGCATTTGTTCCTCCGATTTGTTCCTACAGCAGAGCTGTAAAACTCCTGGCCCGTGGGCCAGATGCGTCACACGCTGGCCACGGCCATGCCCGGTTTAGTGAAGGGGGAAAAAGTCCCAATATGTCATGTGACGCCGCCGTGACAACATGAGTTTGACACCCCTGCTCTTCAGCAACCATAAAAAGGGTAGGTTGGGCTGAAAGACAATGACAGACCCTGAATTAGCTAGTGCAAGGGTCAGCAACCTTAAACATTCAAAGAGCCACAAAGGTCCTAACCGGAAGTCCCCCGTTCAATTCTGGAGCCAACTGGAAGTCCGGTTCCCCCACCATAGCGTTTCCTCCTAGTGCGGCGTCCTTTTTCCTCTACCTATCCTAACCAAAAGCCCTATCAATTGTGGAGCTGACCAGTGACAGGGAGCCGCAGCAGAGGGATGAAAGAGCCACATGTGGCTCCAGAGCCGTGGGTTGCTGACCCCTGAGCTAGTGAGATTTCATGGACAAGGGTGAAGATGAACCTATTTCTCCCCAGTTCTCAACCAAAACCATAACCATCTCACCACACCAGTAGTTCATACCTGGTTATATTTAATGATCAATCCACCTATAGAAGTGTCATATAAACTGTATCATATAGGTAGTCCTTGACTTATGACAATTGAGCCCAAAATTTCTATTCCTAAGTGAGACAGTTGTTAAGTGAGTTTTGCCCCATTTTACGACCTTTCTTGCCACAGCTGTTAAGCGAATCACTGCATTTGTTAATTCAGCAATATGGTTTAAAGTGAATTTGGCTTCCCCCATTGACTCTGCTCGTCAGAAGGTTGCAAAAGGTGGTGCACGTGACCCTGGGACACCGCAACCGTCATAAATGTGACTCAGTTGCCACGCATGACCACAGGGATGCTGCAATAGTCGTAAAATGTGGAAAAAGGTCATGTCATAAGTTGCTTTTTTTCAGTGCCACTGTAACTTCAAATACTCACTAAATGAATGGTTGTAAATCGAGGATTACCTATACTTATTATTGGGACGAGGAAAATTAGAGTGCTATGCTTGAACCATGTCTGTCAGCCCCGAGCCCAAAGACAACACAAGAAGATCCTTTATTTGCTTACAGCTAAGCAAAAGCACTATCCATTTACTATCCTAAGAGATTCTAGGACAGGGGTGTCAAACTCAATTTCAGTGCGGGCCGCATCAGGGTTGTGTTTGACCGCAAGGGGCTGGGGTGGGTGTGACCAGCTCAATGTCACTCATGTCAGGCGCGCCTGTGGCGGCCTGACTGGGCTCCTGAGCTCAGTTTTTGGCCGCCACAGCCTCCTGCAACCCTTTGCCAGTGAAAATGGAGTTTTGGGGGGGGTGGGGGTGGCACACGCAGCCTTCACAAGCTCCGTTTTCACTGGGAGAAGGTTGGAGGAGGCCGTGGCAGCCAAAAACGGAGCTTGGAAGCCCAGTTTCGCTGACAGAAGCATTATGGACCGATCCTTTGCTGTTTCCAGGGCGACTCCACGGGCCAGATCTAAGTACCCTGTGGGCCGCATCTGGCCCCTGGGCCTCGAGTTTGACACCCCTGTTCTAGGATATGGCTATTCTGAACTTCTTCCTCCTTCTCCCATCAGCTCAGGTCTGCACTGTCTCTTAATTAAGGCCTTTCTCTGGGAAAACTCTGTGGTGCCAAAATTCTCCTCACTGCTGTTCCAGATGCACCTTCCATCACAATCCTGAAGTGTCAAACCAGTTTTCAAGTTAGAAACAGGTTTTGGTTTTGGACAAGGGTTTCCCAAGCTTCACATAGATCACTGCTAGGGCTAAAAGGCACTTAGAATCTGAGGGATTATTAAGTCATTCTCCACCTCCAATCCATTCCTACATAGTCCATGTCGTAAGGTGTGGATTAAACAACTTCTTTTCATTGTTTGCAATTGGAGAAAGAAAATATTAAAACAAAAAAATATGCAAGTGTGTTTCCATTCCATTCCATCCACACTCTTCCTACAAAAAGTTTAATAAGTCCTCCCACTTGAGACATTTCAAGAATGTTCCCATACAGGATTTAAAAGGAGTTTATTAAAATCTTATCTTTCAAATTTCATACATACCCCATTTGTTACCGACTAATACCGGACATGCAGCGTGCCGGGTACTGTAGTCTCCTTCACCGCTTGGGAAAAGATTGTACCAAAATACCGCTGTCCCCTAGTAAAACACAAAGTTAACAGCAACTTATTTGGGGGTTAACTTTTGAAAAATGCAATACTAAAGAGGGAAGACAGAATGTAAATATTCTCCAAGTGCCTGACAGGATGTGGCAAAGCACTCTCCATCACCCCTGCTCTGGTTTCTAATGTTTCTCAAATGCTACATTGCGGAGGGTGGGCAAGATATACTGTATTTTTCGGAGTAAAAGACACACTTTTTCTCCCCCTAAAAGAGGCTGAAAATTTGGGTGCGTTTTATACTCCGAATGTAACCCCACCCACTGGCCCCCACCCTTCGGCCACCGCGAGTCCTCTTCCTGGCTGAAGAGATTGCCACCGACAATGGCTTGTGTTTTTGGGCTCCACGCATTGCATTTTTAGCCTCCAAATGCTCCATTTTGAGAACCCTTTAAGGCTGCGGGGATTGCCAAAGCACATTGCTGCCGATCGCTGCCCGAAAATCCGACGCATTTGGAGGCTTACAATACGACGCGTGGTGCCCAAAATGGCTATGCGGAACAGCTGCTGCCTTTTCTTACCCCTTCTGCGCTTTGCCTGCTTTTCTCATTGCTGCTCCCTCCGACGATCAGCTGTGTTTAGAAGCTGTTTTTTAATCCCAACCAGGCTTGCACTCAAAGCCAGCAAACTAATGTGCTGAAGCTGACCAGGCTGAGGATGTTAGCCAGATGAATACCTGGTAGGCAGATCTCCCACCCCTCCTATTTTCCTCCACAAAAACTAAGGTGCGGTAGTGTGCGCACTACGCACATCACATACGGTTTTGGACCCTCTGTGCATGCGCAAAGCTTTCTGGACATGCACAGAGGGTAAAAAACAGGTTACTTCCTGGTTAAAATCAGGAAGTAACGATGTCCAGGCGGGTGGGCGGAGCTTTGTGCTGCCTCCGCTACCTGTTCACCAAACCATCCGCCGCCACCGCTACCGGTTCACCCAAACTGGTGCGAACCGGTAGCATTTCACCCATTCCTAAGTACAGGTATTTCTCGACTTACAGCTGATCGCTTAGTGACCATACAACAGACACCCCCTCCATCCCCCCCAAAAAAGCACCAGACTAAGAGAAAGCAAACGGACAGGTCATGACTGGCCCTACAGAGTGGCAACTTCCAAAGTGAAATCGGAAGCTGTTACAACTGTTTCCTATTCTGGCAACTCAAAACAGTTGATACAGCCTCAGGTGGCATCAGAAGAAGACATAAAGAATTATTTGGGCCAATGTATGGTAAGAGAACAAATTGGCACACATGCATGCATGTAAGCAGGCAGGTAGGCAGGCAGGCAGGAAGGAAGAGCCTGGACTTGTCCTATCTTTCCTCTTACTTCCAAAACCGAACTCTTATCTTTCTGCAAGCAAAAATGAAAAGATACCAGAACTTTTATGAGGTACATGGAGAGAATGGTCAGTGATGGTTACTTTACATGCACACCTTCTGCTTACCTTCTTTGGCCAAACACTGGCTCCAACTTCAGGGAATACAGTTGCTCCTCCTGCTGCCACGTCACTCATCTGAAAAGGAGAAAAAAAATGACTATTCATTCACAATTCTCTTTGAACCCTACCTGAAAAATAATTCCACAGATTTCATTAATGAACTGATAAACAAGGTAAAATTTTGACAGCACCAAAATTATTTATGCTAATTGAAAGAAAGCAATAATCAAAGATGGCAAAGGCTGCAAGAATTCTTTATTGAGGAAAATACTAAATATAGCTCAGTACCACAGAGGTATATGTAAGCCCATCATATGAATGCTGATGGAACTATATTGTTAGGTTATGGACCAGGAAAATGTTTTTAGGATTATGGTGGGAAACTGAAAGAAAAAAATTGTCCTGTGGATATTTGCTCTGAAAAAAGACAAATTCCATGTTGGGAAAATCAGGAGGGGAAAAAATGAGAAAATAAAACCAGGAACATCACCATGCCTTCGTAAAGCTTAAAATATAGCCTGATTTGGTACATTTTGTGTTTTTTGTGATTGCCATAAAAATATTGTAGCCCTAGAAGAGGGGCAGAAAAGAATCAAAAAGTAATTAATCATATCTGAAGCAACACCGTAACAAGGAAAAAACTCCGTCCAGAGTTACACTGGGATAAGACAGGTGGCCAATAAATTTAATAAAAAATAAAATAAAAAGTGAACAGAGGTGAACATAAGGGATATGACAGTTATAAAGAAAACCAATCAAGAGATATTTCCCCCCATTTTCTCAAAACTAGAACTGAGATCTTCCAGTGAAGGTGAACAATGGGAAATTTAGGACAGGATAAAAGAAATGTGTTTGACCCTTTCTTATGAATACCTCCAATATCAGCGCCTGCTCTTTGGAACAACTTTCCCCTCAAGTAGAGATCCGCTTCCACCCTTCTGACCTTCCATAAGGACCTGAAGACCTGGCTCTGCCAATCAGTTTGGGGGCCCAATGGGAATGTATCATGCTGGAAGTGGTTGATGGATTAAGAGCAGACCCCCCCACCTCCCCCCCCCCATGCATCTTGCTCTCTTCCTTCCCATCTTTTTAATCTTTACTGTTATGAAAAATATCTTCTTGGTTTTACTGGCTTTCATTGTTGTAAGTCACCCAGAGTCGCCTCGAACTGAGATAGGCGGCGAACAAATCTTATGATTTTCAATATACAGGGGGAAAAAAAATACAGGAGGAAGAGGAAATCTTTTGCTCATAGCTCCTTGATGAGTTTCCCAGAAGCATTTTGGCTTGGCACCATGATAACAGAATAATGGCTTAATTGGCAGCACAATGGTAAAGGAAATGTTTCCATGTAGAAAGTTCTAAATCTTCAATTAAAAGTCACAACTGAAGTGCTGTACTTTGGAAACTGGTTTGTCTGCTTGACAGACTTCAGAGAAGCACCCTCATTTAGAGGTGACAAATCTTAATTTAATGTGCCAATTCCCTGACTTAGGATATGTCCATCGGCATAGTCTGGTACACACAGCACTGGATCGGCCAACCTTTGATTTGATCAAGCATACCTATTATGTTCTTACTGGATATTTATGATAAGGGATATTTAGTTAAGGACACTGTTTTGTGAAAAATTGGTTCATTCCATTCACCTATAAAATATAACTCATGATGTATAATACAGAATATTTCTCCCAAACTGCTATGTGTAATACAAAACATTTGACCTTCTATGGTGCCAAAACATAAATCGGAACAATAAAAATAAAAACCTCTGTGTTCTTCAGCAACTGATATTTTCTCTCCCACTTAGAGAAAAATTCCTTGATTGCATTAAAAGTGTGGACATCCTAACACCTTATCTTACTTACGTAGAATAGCCACGTAGCAATTCTATTGCCTGTACCCAGTTCTTTAAAGGCATCTGGTTCGTCTTTCTGTGTTCAAAAACATAGATGATATTAGGAGTAAAACAACAATGGCACACAGAGGTAACATTTTTAAATATAATTCTTCTTGGAATGTCTGAAAAGCAAGAAAAACTGCAGCAGGATTTTCTCCTTCAAGTTAAAATTGTTTTATTCAGGTTTTATCTGAATAGCTGGGTTACATAGCTAGCCCACAAAATTCTTAAGATGCAAAGCATGGTTTTGTTATTCCTCTACCTTATATACAAGGGGAAATCTGCAACACTTACCGTACTTATAGACCTCCCGAAACCCCACCCCGCGTGTCCCGTTTTTGCCAAAAACAGGCCTGTTTTTTGCAAAAATGGGGCCTGCAGAGGGTTTGGGAGGCCTGCAGAGTGCTCCTGGGGGCTGGGGAGGGCAAAAACTTGATAGGGGGGGGGGGGTTGGGAGGCCAAAAATGGGGCGTGCAGAGGGTTTGGGAGGCCTACAGAGTGTTCCTGGGGCCTAGGGAGGGCAAAAATGCCGCCATTTTGCAAAAAATGGGCCTGTTTTTGCAAAAAAAAAATGGAGTCATTTTTGCCCTCCCAAACCCCCCATGCATCGCGTTTTTGCCCTCCCCAGATCCCAGGAGTACTCTCCAGGCCTCCCAAACCCTCTGCGTACCCTGTTTTCGTGAAAAACGGGCCCATTTTTGGCCTCCCAAACCCCCAGGAGCACTCTGCAGGCCTCTCAAACCCTCTGCAGACCCCGTTTTTGCAAAAAATGGGATGCGCAGAGGGTTTGGGAGGCCTGGAAAGTGCTCCTGGGGGACGGGGAGGGCAAAAACTTTTTTTTTCCTTGTTTACCTCTTGATGTGTCTTATAGTCCGAAAAATACGGTACTTGTTGAAAACTTTCTTCTTTTTGGAATGGATGAGAGAGCCTATGCTCATGAAATTGATCAGGAACTTTTTTTGAAACCTACCCCAACAATGCCGAGATACGTAGTAAAATCCTATGCATTTACGTTGCCTTTGTAACAGGTCACTGCAATGCAATGGTTCACTTTTTCGCAATCTAAAATTCCAACCCATTTTGAGCCAACACTTTATGAATGCCTGCAACACATCAGGGATAATCTTCTACCAGAAGTTGTATCCTATTTTTCCTATTTTACAAGATCTGATGTGTTTTGGGGAATTCATTATGCAATTGCCTTTAATCTTCTGTTGACATTTTTAAAGCCAGTTCTATTGCTTTTGTGGAATTTGAAAGAGTACTAGTGATATAAAGACTACTTTAAGGTACTATGATTCCAATACCACAGGCATTACTGAACAAATTCTTCTCTAAAGCACATGGGTTTTTCAAAAAGTCCACAAAGAAACAAACTTCAGTTAAACAGAGTAGACACATGCAAATGTCTTTATGCCCAACTTCCAGCTTGCTACACTTCCTACAAAACAAACTCTCCTACGTCTAAAAATAATTTTTAAAAAACCCAGACAAGGAGGGATTGTATGCTGTCCACTAGCTGCTATTCAAGTCAACCAAACAGCTAAATTATACTTGTCAACTTAACCATGTTCTGCCAATGCAAACAGAATGTCTTTCATCCTAGAATTACAAGATAAACCTTTTCGTGCTGGTAAACTTAATTACTTTCATATGCAGATGTTTAAAATAGTTGAAAAATTGCAGTGCTTCCTCCATACTATTAAGTACCGCAATAGTTTCTTCCCTATGTGCAACTTAAATGGGGTATTTTTATCTTTAAATGGCTAGAAACAATCTCACCAGCAAGACACTCTTTTCTAGGAACAGAAAAGATCTGTCTTTTCCAGGAAAGATCTTCTAAAGAAGATCTTCTAAAGCCCTCCTCCAGGGGTAGAGAAACATTTGAGTGGTGGCTTATTACAGGTAGCCCTTGATTTACAGAGCCCTTGATCAAGGCCTTGATTCGTTCAGTGACCGCTCAAAGTTACAACGGCACTGAAAAAGTGACATAAGACTATTTTTCACTCTTGCAACTGTTACAGCATTCTCATAGTCACATGATCAAAATTCAGACACTTAGCAACTGGCGTGTACTTATGACAGTTGCAGTGTCCCGAGGTCATATGCAGAGGTGGCATTTAGCCGGTTCGGGCGAACTGGTAGCGGAAATAGCAGATGGGCCTGTCCACCTTCCCCGGCTCTATGCCATCCTATTTAGGCACGTTTTTGAGACCGGGCACATGGGCAGAAGGCGTACATGCGAGCAAAGCACATGCACAGAGGGCCAGGCGCATGCGCGGAAGGCAGGTGTTCATGTGAACCGGGCGCGCGTGTGAAGCATGTGTGCACACCAGTGGTGGGTTGACCCTGGTTTGGACTGGTAGTAAAACCGGCGGGAGGCTCCACCCACCGCCCCGGATGTCATCATAGGCGATCTGCACATGCGCAGAAGCTTGGTCTATATGCGATCCCATTGTGAACCAGTATTAAAGGTAAGTAGTGTGCATGTGGGGCAAATCAGTAGTTAACAAAATGTGAAACCCACCACTGGTCATATGATCACCTTTTGTGACCTTCTGACTAGCAAAGTCAACAGGGAAGCCAGATTCACTTAGCAATCGTATTACTAACTTAACAACTGCAGTGATTCACTTCACTGTGTGGGACAAGAAAGGTAATAAAATGGGGCAAACTCACTTAACAACTGCCTTGTTTAGCAACAGAAATGTTGGGCTCAATTATAGTCATAAATCAAGGACTACCTGTATAATCCAGTCATCCCGGGGAGGTTTTGTTTGACACTTGCACTTTTAATATTTTTTAAATCATGTATGTATTAGCTATTTCTGTTTAATCTTAATTGTTTCAGAAGTTATAGAAGCTGGGATATCTTTTGATTCATAATTATTATTATTTTTTTATTTGATTTATATGCCGCCCTTCTCCGGAGACTCAGGGTGGCTTACAATGTCCTCAGCAATAGCCTTCATCCTTTTGTATATTTATACAAATTCAGCTTATTGCCCCCACAACTGGGTCCTCAATTTACCTACCTTAGAAAGGATGGAAGGCTGAGTCAACCTTGAGCCTTGGTGAGATTCGAACCTGCAGTAATTGCAGGCAGCTGGTCTTAATAACCAGCTTAATAACAGGGTGCCTTAGTCCACTGTACTACCAAGGCTCTTGGTAGTACAGTTGTTTCTGCTACTGCTTCATTGCATATATCTTCTGACTTTTTAGTACTGATTTTGCATTTCATGGTTTTCTTTCTTATAAATCACTATTTTATTGTAAGTAGCCCTGACAAGGCCTATTAGTGGCTGAAATAAAAACTTCATTAAATAAATGTTAAACTGAAATACATTGGCCATTATGTAGCATAGTAGAATTTACAACACAACACTACAGAAATTCACAGGTGCACTGCAAAAATATTAGGACAGAAATTAATGTTACGCATGAACACAGTTAATACACTGTTGATTTGAGAAACACATCAGAAGATTTTAAGCAACAGAGTGAATCAAAGTTTGATCTTGTGTTAAGGCAAGAATTTTTAAATTACCGTCGGACAGGTTGGTTCAAGAAAAATGTTAATCGAAAATGTTACTTTACACCAATACTCCATAAATCACCATTTGAATTTATTCACGTTTGATTAACAGATAGTTCATTAAGGAAAAAAATATAAACAGGCATTGAAATGCAGATATACTGAACTTCAAAATCATTTTATTACTTTTTTGATCAGTGCAACGCTTTAAACCAGGAGTACAAAATGCGAGCTTTTTAATGAGCTAAATTTGAAAAAATTAATATAATTAAAAACAAAAGCTGACCACTGCTTTGTCTCTATGCCACTGATATAATATAAAGCTTGATCACTATTCCCAATGAGCAACATTTTCTGTAAAGCACTTTCTATGAAGGGACACTTTTAACTCTTTTCCTTAAGAGTTCACTGCAACTATCTTTTTATCGTTCAAATGGTGATTTAGAAAGCTTTATCCATTCAGAAGGATTAGACCACTCAAAAGCCCAAATTTAATACAGATATAAGACACTTTGGACAGCGTCCCAAAAGCCTAAAATCCGCAAACTTTTCCTTCACCCATCATTTTACTTGCCCGAGCAAAGTCATAGTGAGGCTCATATTGTCCTCCCACTCCATAATTTGCTATCTGGAAAAAAAGAAAACACAGCACATATGAAGAAGCCCAAAGGCGAAGAAAAACTTACCCTTCCAAAATCAAAATGAGGCTCGTACTGGCCTCCTACTCCGTAATTGGCTACCTAAAGTAAAAGAAGCACAAACACCGAGTGAAAGATCTAAGATGGGATCTCATATGCTTGCTTCATTTCTAAGATGAAATCTGGCTAAAAGACAGTAGGACAACTTAAGTCTTCAGAGTCAGCCCCTCTCCCTAAAGCAGGAGTGTCAAACTCCAGGCCCGTGAACTGCATCCAGGTCGTGATGTGGTCAGATCTCGCCCATGGGGTCGTCCTGGAAAATGTATCTGGCCCGCATGGCTTCGGCCAAGTCTACCCAATGTGAAAAGGAAACATGGTAGCAGTTTGGGGAGTGGCGTCAAGCTGGCCCCACCCACCCAGTTGGCTCCACCTACCCAGTCGCGCCCCCTCCCCCAGGTCAACCACAGCCCTGACGCCGCCCTCAATGAAATTGGGTTTGACACCCCTGCCCTAAAGGGATATACAGGTAGTCCTCGACTTATGATCACAATTGAGCCCCAAATTTCCATTGCATTTCCATTCCATTCACAGACAGCTGTGAATTGAGTTTTGCTTCATTTTGTAACTTTTCTTTCCTTAAGTTGTCAAATGAATCACTGCACTTAAATTAGTAACACGGTTGTTCATTGAATCTGGCTTTCCCATTGACTTTGCTTGTCAGAAAGTCGCAAAAGAGGATCAGTTGCCAAGCGTATGAATTTTAATCATGTAACCATGAGGATGGTGCAATGGCTGTAAGTGTGAAAAAGGGACATAGGTCACTTTTTTCAGTGCTGTTGCAACTTTGAATGGTCACTAAACAAATGGTTGTAAGTCGAGGACTACCTGTGTAGGCAATTTCAAAAACTAAAGCAGGAACTATTGCAGACTTGCAAATAACACTTAATGCATTAAGTGTTATTGAACATAGCTGAACATATTATTTCAGTGGCCCTAAACAGATGCAAAGTTAAAGTATTGGAATGCTTAATATGGAAGATTTTGTTTTTATGCTTTCAATTTCATTCAACGTAAAGTGAAAGTTTATCTACTTTGTTCATTTTCTATCCGATAATTTTAATGTTTTAAAAGTTTTATGCTGTAAGCCACCCAGAGTCATTTGATGCAACATGAGTGATAAATAAATAAATAAATAATAATAATAAAAATCTGAACTGGGTTTGGTTATATATTTAAGAGTTGGGCATCAAGTACATTCTCTGTTTTAAAAAATGGGGGAAAAAAATCAGAATGGAAGTTTGGGAACTGTATGTAATGAACTTGTTGCGCTTCTTTGCCTTTTTTTTCCTCTAAGAAAAAAACAAAACAAAACGGATGAGTAACCATAGGTTCTAGCAGTTTACCTCTGATGAATATCATATATTTAGACAACGCCAAGAAAATACAAGACACAATGAAATCATGATGAAGATGAGATCCTCAACCAGTGATGGGCTGCAACCGGTTTAACAATTGATTCTGTGAGTGCGCGCTTTGCGCGCTTCAAAATACAGCAATTTGAAGCTCAGCTGCTTACTTTCTAAGGCAGTCCTGGTAAGTCGAACAGTGAAGGCGCGGAAATCAGCTGTGCTGCGCGAATCAGTTGAGCCAGAAAGGAAATATAGGACAGGATAGGGTGGAGGCGGGGCCAGCTGATCATCGGAACTACCAGTTCACTCGAACCGGTCCGAACTGGCTGCAGCCCACCACTGTCCTCAACTTATAAAAAGTGTAGAGATTTGGCACGTAGCTCTTTTCAATCTTTCTTGGGGCCATGCTAATCTGGTCAGTCACATACTTTTTTTTTTTTTTTTTTTGCAAACTCACCTGGAGCTCCTCAGCTGTGGAAACATCCAATCCTGTTAGATCCTGTATCCTTTTATTTATACGTGCCACTACAGGGTTTTCATATCCAGATAGCCAGGCACTAAAAATGGAATTATAGTATTATTCATGAACAATAAGATCTGAGTATTAATTTTCATGACCAATCACAAACTAATTTGAATTGTGCAAAGTAGTCTATAAAACTTAACCTAAATGTAATTTTACAAGAAATATTTTTTTTTAAGTCCACACACTATTTCTGCATGTAATGTCATTCAGATTTGCTTAGCTAGAGCACATCCATGATTAATTAAAAAAAAAAAAAAGAATCTGCTGAGTCAAACTTCAGATAGTATAATGTCTACTACATTGCAATAGGATTTTATAGTCCTTTAGGGACAGTATTTTCTGTGAGGAATGTATTATTTTCTGCATAAGATTTCCGGGGTAATGTAAGTGAAGTAAATGAGTGAATCCAGGGTCTTCTTATGTTGTATGTGCCAGAAAAAATACTGGATCACTGCTTTAGAGCAACATAATTTCTTCACCGTTAACTATAATGGAAAGTGGAAAAAAAACATTACTTAAATATGTACTTATCCAATTCTTGCAACTGTCAGAATTCTATGAATCAAACTTTTTTTCTTCTTCTTTGGTGCATCATATAGGTAGTCCTCAACATATGACCAGAATTGAGCCCATAATTTCTGCTGTTAAGTGAGGCATTGGTTTGCCCCATTTTACGACCTTTCTTGTCCCAGTTGCTAAGTGAATCACTGCAGTTGTTAAGTTAGTGACATAGTCGTTAAGTGAATTTGGCTTCCCCATTGACTTTCGCTTGTCAGTAGGTCGCAAAAGGGGATCACATGACTACGGGACACTACAAGCGTCATAAATGCGAGTCAGATGTCAAGAATCTGAATGTAAATCATGTGACCACGGGGATGTTGCAACGGCCTTAAGAGTGAAAAATGGTTACATTTTTTCGTGCTGTTGTAACTTCAAAATGGTCACTAAACGAACTGTTGTAAGTCGAGGACTACCTGTATTCTGGGGTGCACATTTCAAAAAAAGACTGAATGACCCAAAGCTGCGAGAGAACAAGGATTACTTTTAAAAATCATCAATGACCACTGAAGGATTCAAGAAATCTTGCACATTCTATTGGATTGGAAGGATGAAGTTATGCATTTATTTCGGCAGATTTGCTACCTTCCTTTTTACAGGAACACAACAAAACCCTAATCAAGAGCAGCAGATCAGGAACCAACAGAGATTACAGAATCTTCAAGAGTATGGAGGAAATAACAGCTGAACATTTGCCAGACATAGAATGATTTTTTTAAAAAAACAAAATACTCAGTTAATGCACTTATTAGTCATAGGTGGGTTTTAGCAGGTTCTGACCAGTTCTGGAGAACTGGTAGTAGAAATTTTGAGTAGTTCAGAGAACTGGTAAATACCACCTCTGACTGGCCCCGCTCCCATCTATTCTCTGCCCCCTGAGTCCCAGCTGATCGGGAGGAAATGGGGATTTTGCAGTAACCTTCCCCTGGATTGGGGAGGGAATGGAGATTTTACAGTATCCTTCCCTTGCCATGCCCAAGCCATGCCCACCGAACCGGTAGTAAAAAAATTTGAAACCTACCACTGTTTAGTATATTGCTGGCATGCTGTTAGCGTTGTGTATTGTTAGTATATGAAACAAAGCAGACAAAAAACGAATATCCTGTCTCAAAACAAGATGAAATTACATCAAGCAATATCAGGAAGAGTTATCTCCTAAAGAGGGAAATTAAGTTTACAGTAACGAAAGTGATAAAAGTAATGAATATATAGTACATCCCATATTTAACTAATGAACAACTACATGTAGCTGGGACTCCTGGTTGATATTTCATGCTGGCAGTTCAATACCTCCTAGCAACTAAACTTAAAAAAAAAAAATGTTTTCTCACACTTCTTCTTGCAGAGAACAAAATAAGATAGCTCCATCAAAGGAGTAATTCTATACTGTTGGGGTTCAGCAACCTACAATTTGTCTATCCGCAGTGTATTCTCAGAAGTCAATCTGATTGATTTAGATAGGATTTGCTCTCAGTACATCTGTACAAGAGTGTAATTCAATGTATGGCCCTGACACAACAGGAACGCAGCAATAAGTCAAGCAGAGTCAAATAAGTCAAAGCTTTCTAAATCACTCTGGGATTGCTTTGGCTATTAACTAGCTTTCAGACCAGTATTTCTCATTCTTGGCAGTTTTAAGATGAGTGGACTTCAATTCTCAGAATTCCTCCGTGAGCCTGACCGGCTGGAGAATTCTGGGAGTTGAAGTCCACCCATCTTAAAGTTGCCAAGGTTGAAAAAAAATCGTTTTAGATTCACTTTAAAGTGCCGGTTATTATATTGACAAAGTGCTAAATAACTGGATCATATCTTAAAGCAGGGGTGTCAAACTCGCGGGCCAGAGGTGTCACGCGCTGGCCACGCCCACCCCCAGTTTAGCAGAGGGGGGAAGTCACGATATGTCACATGATGACAATATGACATCACGAATTTGACACCCATCTTAAAGTGTTGTTTGTTTGGCACCCAACTCACCACAAGGTGATTTATTCCATATGAATCCTTTACATGCTCCCTAGGTGCATTTGGAAGCAGTTCTGATTTCAATTCTATTTCCATCAGTGAATATCTGGATGTGTTTCAACTCATTCTTGATTAAGCTTGTTAAAAAGGAAGCCTCCCTCTTACTAGACAGTTGGCTCCAATTACTCAGTACTGCTTTGACCTACATTACTCCTGAAACTATGAGTTTCTCTTGCAGGCCAACTTAAATATCCTTTTGGCTAAAAAGAAAGCAAAGAAATGGTTAATACGTCAATTTATTGCATTGCTTCTCTGTGATAGTAAAAATCAACTTCCTTCCCATCTTACTGTTATTGTAAAATGTATTCTTCGTTTTACAGTACTGAATCTTACAGTTTAAGTCTTAAATGCCTCTCTTATTTTGACTTTATTTCACCCATTATATATCCATTTCTTCTTCAGGGAACTTGAAATCTCAATTCATTTTAGTTCAAAGTACTCCAAGGTAAAATTATTTGTATTGTCTGTATCTCTTCAAAAAATAATGCTAGCTAAATACTATTGTGGTGTTATGAATATGAATATTACACCTGAAAAGTTTTTAATTTAAAGTCCAATGTAAACAGTTACAACAGTGGAGGTGATTGAGTAACAACAGATCCCATCTTCCCCCACTCTGCTCCCCCCCCATGTAATTAGATTTTCGTGGTTATTTATGTTTTAATGTAAATAGATAGATAGATAGATAGATAGATAGATAGATAGATAGATAGATGATAGACAGACAGATTTTTATGACTGTAAGATGCCCAGAGTTACCCTGTGGGAAGATGGGTGGCCAATAGATTTTATAAATAAGTAAACAAATATGTTTCCCAAGTTATTACTATTTCAAATGAACTAGTACACCTTTTTCTGTCACTGCAATAATCAATGTTAATTTTTACTCTTTTCAAGATTCCACAATTCTATTGAGAGTTTCTAAATCTCCAGTTGTATGAAAGGATTTTATAAAATACTTCAGTAGCATTATTTAAAAAGTCTTCTCTCCTGTGACAAAAAAAAAAAAATGTTTTACTTAGAGAGAAGTAGGAATTTCAACAGAGAAGAAAGTGGATTTCTTAGAAGTATACTGTACACCCTTAACAGCATCTCGCAGAGGGCTGGGCTAGACTGACCAAATTATTTTAGTACAGTACTTGGCTTGGCTCAAAATCCTGGGCCCGTTTATACAATCTGCTTGCCACATACTTCAGAATGAACAGTAGTCCTGTCATTAAAAAGGGGATACTGTAATATGGAAAGTATTAACTAGGGAAAAAGTTACTGGAATGCCTGGGCAGGGAAAATGGTCTTCTCTTCAAAATACAAGGAGGAGTACCAGGCCATGGCCTGTTCAAAACAGACCCACGGGAGAGATGGGCAAGCGTGTGCGCACGAAGCTCCACTCGCACGATCAGGGGGTACCTATGCTCAAAGCTCCATTTGCGTGAATGGAGCTTCATCTGCGAGCACCCTCTGCTCACACATGAAGCTCCATTGCTACTCACACACCCTTCCCCTGCTCCCCAAGCTGGAAAGGTACCACTGTCTTAGTGGATGTTTTTTTTAAAAAAAATCAAGTTATTGTTCTGACGTCCTTGTTAGTTTTGCCAATGCAGCTTCTGCTTTGGAAAATATCAGCTTTCAACAAATTAGAATAGAATAGAATAGAATAGAATAGAATAGAATAGAATAGAATAGAATAGAAGCGTTGGAAGGGACCTTGGAGGTCTTCTAGTCCAACCCCCTGCTTAGATAGGAAACCCTATAGCATTTCAGACAAATGGTTATCCAATCTCAACTTAAAAACTTCCAGTGTTGGAGCATTCACAACTTCTGGAGGCAAGTTGTTCCACTGATTAATTGTTCGGTCAGGAAATTTTTCCTTAGTTCTAGGTTGCTTTTCTCCTTGATTGGTTTCCACCCATTGCTTCTTGTCCTACCCACAGATGCTTTGGAGAATAGCTTGACTCCCTCTTCTTTGTGGCAGCCCCTGAGATATTGGAACACTGCTATCATGTCACCCCTAGTCCTTCTTTTCATCAAACTAGACATACCCAATTCCAGCAATCGTTCTTTATATGTTTTAGCCTCCAGTCCCCTAATCATCTTTGCTGCTCTTCCCTGCACTCTTTCTAGAGTCTCCACATCTCTTTTACATTATGGTGATATAGGTGTAAGTTTTCTCAATGTATGTAGTATTGCACAAAATGACCAAAAAAAAAAAAAAAATCACATTGAAACTTAACAATAAAAAAACCCATGAAGCAATAAAAAAAACGTGCTCCACATTCAGGGACTTATTGAAATACTTTCTTGCAAATATTCTGTGACCGTATTTTTTAAAAAAGGCAGCTAAGGAGCACGTACAGTATATTTTGTGCATCCTCTATTTAAAAATAGGTGCTGAACTAAGAATTTCAAGCTATCATTATGACATGCGGCTTCCTGCTTGTTATGTGCTCCTTAAGAAGTCTTAAAATTAAGATAGATATTGAGACACCATGAGAAAAAGCAAACAGATGGTAGAACGTACTGTAACCTCTCTAGTACAGGCACCAGGTTAGGAAATTCACATGGATTGTGTTTAAGATGAAATAATTCAATGTGCTAGCTTTTATTAGGATCATGCAGAGTAGTAGTAGTACACAGAATGCACCGACTGGTTTAAAAAGCACTAAAGCCTCACTGATTTCAATGAAAGAGAGTGAAGGACATGCTTCAACAACTTAATTTGGGTTAGCACTTACATCTAAAAGTATCCTTTTTTCAAACATTCCAAACTTTCAATGCCATAAGTGTTAGCAATGTGTTTTAAGGCTGCGTCTACTTATCAGACAAAGGAACCCCAGTCCCAACCTTTGATACCAATCGCCGATCGACCTACCCTGTAGTAGTTCAGAAGTACCCGTCTCCTCTTACCTCTTAGAGACTCTGTAATGTGCTGTGGTCAGTTTCCCAGTCTGAGGGTCATGCACAGTAGCTCGGCTCAGCTACAAAAAATAAAAAAAGAGAAAGGACGAAGGCTTACTTTAGAAGCAAGCGTCTGGGCCAAGCCACAGGCAATTGGGAGGGTTCCGATTGGTCAAGATAAAATGCAATGCTCAGGTCAGCAGGAACGCTTAAAGGATTGCACTATCTGCTGTATTTCTCTGTATCAATTTAATTCAATTGGTTTAATCAAATTTGGTTAGGTTGTCCTTTCACTTTTTCTTCCCCAAATGGAAAGCTAATTGCAAGCCACTTGTATCTGCCAAGTTTCACAGAGAACTTCTCAGGAACCCAGAAGTTAAAGGCTCTTCTTCCAGTTATTCTTTCTTTGAAAAAAATATGTAGTGGTAGGTTACATGCTTAAATTTTATCAAAGTTATGGTGTTCCAACAATTGAGACTGCTGAATTTATAGGATGCACTATAAATATTTGTAAATGTTCCATTGCCACGAAGAAAAAAGTGGGATTTTAAAAAAGCGGGGTATGCATTTAAGTGAAATAAATAAATGGAATAAATTAACAAAATCAAAAAAGTTTCTGAACAAAACACAACATTTCATTTCACCTCTACAACAATGTCTGATAGGAACCACTAGGAGAGCTGGCTTTTAGCCAGAGAAATTGGAAATTCCCAGTAAAAGAGACATGTTGGAATTCCACACAGGAGTGAGATCCAATTATTTTAAATTTTTAAAATTATTCAAATTGTGTATGAACACGTGGGGACTCCTCATTTTCAGCAGTCAGATACGGAACAATTAATAAATAGAAGTGGAATTAAGAGGAATTCATAAAAGCAAATAGGGTATTTTGAGACTCAAACATACCTAAAACTATTCTAAACTCCACTTAAGAGCATATGTGGCTCCAATAAAACCAAGCAGAAATCCATAAGGCATATTAGTGCTACAACAGATACAGTACATATAGAAACAGTGCATATTTCAATATAAACAATCAATTTGTAACCTTGTCAAGACAAGCTTTGTTTTTGTATATAGGAAGCAAAAAATTGCGTATTGCTAAGTAAATAATTGCGCATGCCCACATCATCATGAAAAATGTAATTCCAAAACAAAAAGAAGCTAGACTTTGAAGAGGAAACTTTCAAACCACAAGGCAGAAAGCAACATGAAATCTCTCTGTCAATTTACGCTAAGCCTCAAATATCAAAATATACTTTAAAGAAGCAAAGAAGGACAAAACTTCTGGCTACAAGAAGCACCTGAGAAACTCAGCAGTAACGAAGTGTTAGAAGTCTCTGTGAATAGCACAAACGACCAGAAAAGTTTTAAACCACCTTTTTTTTTTTTTCCTGGTCACTCTTCTACACAAATGAGTACCATAGAGGGTCTCATCACAAAGACGGAAGGTATGGCAAGTAAAGTCTTACCTTTTGCTAATTCTGTAATGTGCAGTCTCCAAGACTCCCGTTATGGGGTTTGAAATGGTGGCTCGCCTCAGCTGTGAAGCGAACCAATCAGAACAGTCGCATTACAATGTACATATTGCATCACATTTATCTGACCATTCAGAATCCGGGGGCGGAACCCCAATTTCAGTAGGGTTCTTTTCCATTAAGGAACAAAACCCACCACCACCGAACAAAAAACGTGGAACACGAAAAAAAGTTCAGAATGTCAAAAATAATAAAAAAATGCCTTGATACAGAATGGGCCAATCAGACATAACATTCTAGTAACTTGCTGCATGATGATTTAATCCTACAGAAATAAGACTATACATTACTGTACTGTACAGAAAGAATCAAATACATCTGTAATTAGAATTATAGCTGAATTTACTATTAGAATTTGTCTTGACAAAGACAAAGTGTAACAAAACTCAAAAATAGTACGAATGGTACTAATATTTGTCACTTTGCCTGCTGTAAAGAATTTTTAAACTTTTCATTACTGTTTTTCGCAACAAGCTCCCAAAAACAGGGCATGCCTACATTTTATTCGACATAATCGCTGGATAAGCAACAATGGTTCAAAGATCAGAACTATTTGTCAATCTATTCTTTTTGGGCCTAACGAGACAAGCAAAAGCTCCTTTGCTATTTCAGAAATAAAATGAAGATGTCATTAAGTGATAGGCAGCAAAAAGCTATTTAGCAAGGCCCAAGCAAGCTGCAATCAGGAAGCAAGTGAGGAAGTTATTCATTGGTGGCCTTGTTAAAAGAGTGTGGACTATTTAGATTCTTTACCCTTGGTTTTGAAAGCTCTTTGACTTTTTCTATTTCTTCGTCGGAGATAATGTCAAGAAAGCGGATGATCCGAGGGCGATCCCACTCATCCTCTTGTTTGACAGGTCCCAGGATGTAATAAGGGTTCCTGTGCCCATCGGAATAACGGCAGAACAGCTTCTTTTCTTTTCTAGGAGTCTAAATGTTTGAAATAAAGGGCAAGCATCAGTAACTCAATGCATTATTTTTCATTCACAAATAATGTTCGTATTGCATACAAGGGAGAGGCCAAAAGTACTTTTACTAAAGGCAACTGGACGGACTTTCTTTGTTTTTTCCTTCAAGCATTTTGCTTCTCACCCCAGAAGCTTCTTCAGTTCTGATTGAATGGTGGGGAATGGAAGGATTTATATTCATTGCAGCAGAGGTGGGATTCACTTAGCTTCCCTACCGGTTTGCAAATTTGAGTGCGGGAGCGCACGTGCAGTAGTCTCACATTACATCTAGGCAGGTGGACAAAGCCTCCCTCAGTCGCCGCTACCAGTTTGCGCGATCCGGACAGAACCGGCTGAATCCCACCACTGCATTGCAGTCATCTGGTCGTTAGCACTCTTTCTGAGAGTCATGAGGCTTATCTGTGCCCTCACCCGAATAGTGCAAATGGATGTGGAACCTTCTTGGAATTGCTGAAAGGTCCTTTTAAAAAGGCACCTTTAGGACAACCATGACCTGTATGATTGAGAATCTCCATAGAGATACCCATATTTCCCCGAAAATAAGACCTCGTCTTATTTTGAGGGGGAGGGGTTCCAAAATAAGCATTAGGGCTTATTTTCGGGGAAACACAATATCAGGGTGATCAGCCTGGGAGACGGTGGGATGGAGTGGGCGGGCAGCTATGGGGTGCTCATCTTCGCGTCTCTCAGCTTGTCTGTGGCCTATGAAATGCGTGTCCGGATCAAATTCCTCTCCCCCCACCTCTGCCTGCTGCTTGGACAGGTAATCAACTCACCTGTGCTGCACAGGCTGCAGCTGAACACCATCATCCCCTATGCCCTTGCCACCTCCAGTGCTGGCCACCACCCCCGATGACAAGTGTAACTAGGGCTTATTTTTGGAGTAGGGCTTATATTACACAGGTGTCAAATTCGCGGCGTTGCGTTGCCATGTGACGTATCGCAATGTTTTTTCCCTTTGCGGAGGTGGGGTGGGCGTGGCCTGCACGTGATGCATTCGGCCTGCCAGTTTGATACCCCTATTATATTAGGAGCATGCTAAAAAAATCAGGCTAGGTCTTATTTTCGAGATAGGTCTTATTTTCGGAGAAGCACAGTAAAAGGGAGAACATACCATTTTAAGACCTTCACCACGGCATAATTTTTCATACTTCTGTCTCTCGGGCAGATAATCTTTGAGAGGCCCTCTTTTCTGAGTCTTCACTTTTTTCCCAGTCTGCTCATCTGTGTTGGCCACAGACTCATTGGCTTCTTTTTCTTTTTCTTTAATCATGATGTATTTAAAGTATTTCATATTCCCATTTGCTCTCTGATGCTCGGGATCTGTTGGACAAGCAGGTAGAGAACTGGTTAACTCCATGGAAAAAAGCTGTTTTTAAGAGATTTTGTCCTTTTGTTTGAGTTCAGAAGATCTGATGAAATCTGTATATGTCAGCATCTAATCCACTTATGTCAGCAGGAATGTATCTCTATCTTCATATATAAATACCCAAATCACAGAAGCAAATGGCATATAAAATGATGGAGAGGGGGAAAATTAATGCTTCCTAAACACATTTGTAATTACAGGGATTCCCAGCAGCGTTCCATCCTTCACTCCACTGCATTAATTAGTTTGAAAAGCCTGTACACCCAAGTGGAAAATGTCTGAGGGGAAAAAAAAAAGTTAAAAGCAGTGCAAACATGATGAATACAAGAAAGATTAACCTACCCAATTCAAGTAACCGTTTGGTGAGCATCATTGCTTTGTCCACGTCCCCCTGCTGGTATATAGCATAACTCAAGTAATCTAGAACAGAAACTTTGTTGATTGACGAAGAAACTTCTCCCTCATCCAACTGTTTCAGAGCTTGCTCCATCCACAATTCAGTATGGTAGTAATCTGCTTCAGTATAGGCAATCTTTCCCAACTCAAAGCAATCTTCGGCAGTTAGAAATACCTTATGTTTCACTCCTAGTGGGGAAAAGAACCAGCAACAGCTGTTAAAAACCCCTTGAATTCGTGCAATTTTTGTATTTATGTTTTTTTTTCTCTGTAGCACTTTCAGGGGTGGGATTCTACCGGTTCGGGCAAACTGGTAGCTCTGACGATCAGCTGGGAACGAACCGGTTCACTCCGACAATCAGGTCGACCTGCCCACCCGTCCTGGAGCTTTACTTACCTTTATCTTCTCAGCTGATTGGCGTGGCAGAGCGGATTGCCACACCTCAGCCGTGTTATTCCCAAGAGGTAACACAGAAGGTTAGAATTTGTAAAACTGCACCCCCGCGCGCAGCATGAGGTAGGTGTGCGTGCGCGCAAAGCACGAAATCACCGAACCGGTTGTTAAACCGGCAGCATCCCACCACTGAGCACACTGTTTAATTCTTACGTCCTTGCTGATAAAACTAGATAGACTACTAGAGTTATTTAACTGTATTCTCAAATGAAACAAACAAAATGTTAAAAAGCATGATATTTATGTAATTACTTATGAAGCACATCTAAATTATATTAAAGTAACCCAAATATTTTTACAATCCCCAAGGCATGTCAGAACTTTTGAGCATCCCTCATGTTTGGAAATTGAAAGTTGAAAAAATTGACAGACCATTTCTCTATTCGTTTTTTTTTTCATTTTGAAATGATTGCACTAAACTGGATATCATATAGTACAGGTAGTCCTCGAATTACAACCACAGTTGAGCCCAACGTATTTGTCAGGAAGTGACATATTTTTAAGTGAATTTTGCCCCATTTTATGAGCTTTTGTGCCACAGCTGTTAAATGAATCACAGCAGTTGTTAAGTTAGTGACACTGTTGTTAAGTGAATCTAGCTTCCCCATTGACTCTGCTTGTCAAAAGGTCACAAAAAGTGATCACATGACCCTGGAACACTGTAACCATTATAAATATGAGTCAGTTGCTAAGCATCCAATTTTTGATCATGCGACTACGTGGATATTACAATGGTCGTAAGTGGGAAAAATGGTCATGTTACTTTTTCCACGCAGTTGTAACTTTGAACAGTCTCTAGGTCAGTGGTGTCAAATTGGCGGCCTGTGGGCCAGATGGGTCATGTGCAGGCCATACCCATCCCAGCCCCGCAAAGGGAAAAACATCGCAAATGTCACATGACAGCAACGTGATGCCGCGAGTTTGACACCCGTGCTCTAGGTGAATGTTGTAAGTCAAGGACTACCTAAATCTTCAGATATTATATTACATATCATTTTGCATTTATGTTAATATAGTATTTTTCTAATATGCTATTCCTAAATATAATTCAGAAATATGTCTATTGCTGAATGTTTAATTTGTTATGTTTTTAGATTTTTTTTTCTATTTCCTAAATTCTACTAGTGCCAATAAAATAGTGACAGAGTCCACCTAATTTTTGGGAAAGGAAGGGGGAGACCTCTCACGCTGAATTTTTAATTCACAAGCTTGATCTGCCTTTCATCACTCAAGAGCAACTGGCCTTTAAAAAAACAGAAGATCAAACAGAAGCAAATTCTGTTAAAGCAAATAAGGAGGGGGGGGGAATCACGTTTCCAATCACAGGAGAGCCACCATTTGCACCCTGATCCTGAATGTCATGGATCTGGTGGGAGAATAATCCTGACCAACACAACTCAATGTGTGCCTTTTCCTCTGTTAGTTTCAGTCACCTCTCCTGCTCCCAATACAATGATCCTAAGCTTTTTCCAAAAATGTTTTCTTAGAACAAAAAGTATGCTGAGAAATAAGAAATCTTGAAAAAAAACCTTTCAAGAGATTCAATCTTTTAAAGTGACCAATACACAGAGATGTATTAACACTATACACTGTTCTGAAAAAAAGAGTAATATACAATGCAATTCCCATCTCCCATCTAGTTATTGATAGCAGCAAGACTAAGGTTAAAAAACAAAACAAAAATACACAGAACAAAAACTTTTGTATCATAAGAGACCAATCAGAAATAACTAATACTAAAAAAAATATATCAATGATACCAGGGGTGAAATCCAGCAGGTTCTGACAGATTCTGGAGAACCGGTAGAGGAAATTTTGAGTAGTTCAGAGAACTACTCAAATACCACCTCTGGCTGGCCCCAGAGTGGGGTGGGAATGGAGATTTTGCAATATCCTTCCCCTGGAGTGGGGGGGGAATGGAGATTTTGCAGTATCCTTCCCCTGCCACGCCCACCAAGCCACACCCACAGAACCGGTAGTAAAAAAATTTGGATTTCACCACTGAATGATACCTATGATAATGACCCAAATGTATTTTAGTTTTTACACATTATGATGCCCCGAGTTTTACTTATAGAATAAATTCACACGGGAGATCCCTTGATCCCACACATAAAAACTGTGTCAGGGTATGAAGAGTTAATAGCTGTAAGTTGATAAGAAGCTGTAAGCGGAGGCAACCAGAAGCTGATGCAATGGAATGAGGCAGCAGGGTTACTGCCACTTTAAGAAGCTGGGTAAGAAGCTGCCTATATAAGGGAAGCCATTAGAGGGCATTTCCTTCTCCTCATGCCTTCTCCTTGTGCATTATACTTGTTCTCTCATCATGTCTACCATTGCTTTCCATTGTATCAGTAGCTGTAAAGATATTTAACCACATATATTTCACTGTAGATAAAACCACTGTTATTTATAACTAAAAGGCTCTGTGTGCTGTGTGCTGTCTTTGCTCCAGGGTTTATCTCATAATACTAGTTACGCTGCCTATACTCTGACAAACTGCCTGTATGTTACCTGTCATTATTATTTCTTAAGTAAAACTGATTTTTTTTAATGGAGAAAGCATAATTGTATATTTTCTTTTTTTTATTATTATTCCTTTCTTCTCTTCTTTCTACTTTTACTGTAGTGAAAAATTTGAAACACGCACACACACAGAGAAAAGTGTATTTAAAATCAGAGCATCTTAGAAGAAGAGAAGGAGAATAAACTATGAAACTTGGTTTTGATCTTCCCTATAGCTAGAAATCACATATAAATGCGCTCTGTCCCTCTGAAACAAAACATTAGGGAAGCATTTTGTTTCCCTAAAATGTTGTTGTCTTACATACCTGGAAGATTTCCCCTTGAGATCGTGTCAGTATCTAACTTATACGTATCCTGGAGCCGCAAGAGAGCTTTGCCAGCACCAGTCTGATCTTCGTCATCAGGGAAAAACAGCCGTTGAACTGTCATGTTGGAAATAAATCCTAAAAATAATTTAAAAAAGGGGTTATTGTAGTAGATAAATGATTTTTATTATAGTCACAGACCAGCATTACAAATAAAAACATTTAAAATGATAAAAACAAAAAAAAGACAAATTACTGTATTTTTCAGACTATAAGATCCACCGGACTATAAGACACACCTTATCTTTAGAGGAAGAAAACAAGGGAAAAAAATAGTTTTTGGCCTTTGCCCGTCGCGTTTCCGCCCTTCCCAGCCCTCAGAAGCACTTTGCAGGCCAAAAGCAGGCCCATTTTTGGTTTCCCGAACTCTCCGCGCACCCTGTTTTCGCCGAAAATGCACCCATTTTTGGTCTGCAGAGTGCTTCTGGGGGCCAGGGAGGGTGAAAACCCGATGCGTGGAGTGTTCAGGAGACTAAAAATGGGCCAGTTTCTGATGAAAACGGGCTGTGTGGAGCACTGCAGAGTACTTCTGAGGGCTGGGGAGGGTGAAAACACGACGCGCGGAGGGTTCGGGATCCCAAAAACGGGCCCGTATTTGATCTATAAGACGCACCAAAATTTTCAGCCACTTTTGGGGGGGAGGGGGGGAATATGTCTTATACGCTGAAAAATACAGTATATGATTAGTGGTGGATTATCAATGGGCAGTTAAGAGTGTGCTTAATCTTGCATACAGTATAACAATGATGACTAGGGGACTGGAGATTAAAACATATGAAGAACGGTTACAGGAACTGGGCATGGCTAGTCTAGTGAAGAGAAGGACCAGGGGAGACATGATAGCAGTCTTCCAATATTTGAGGGGCTGTCACAGAGAGGAAGGGGTCAAGCTATTTTCCAAGGCACCCGAAGGCAGGCAAGGAATAATGGATGGAAGCTGAACAAGGAGAGATTCAACCTAGAAATAAGGAGAAATTTTCTGACAGTGAGAACAATCAACTAATGGAACAGCTTGCCTTCAGAAGTTGTGGGAGCTTCATCACTGGAGGCTTTCAAGAAGAGATTAGACTGCCATTTGTCAGGGTCTCCTGCTTGGGCGGGGAGTTGGACTAGATGACCTACAAGATCCCTTCCAACTCTGTTAATCTAATCCAGGGGTTTGCAACCTTAAACACTCAAAAAGCCATTTGGACCCATTTTCCACAGAAAAGAAAACACCGGGAGCCACAAAACCTGGGTGGGCGTGGCCAACTTGACATCACTCACTTCCACCAGTCACATGACCCCCCCCAGCCACACCTACCCAGCTGGTCATTAGGGCAGAGAACCAGTTGTTTAAAAACACCGGGAACCACAAAACCCTTTTGACATCTCTCTCTATATCTCTCCCCACCTCTCTCTCTATCTATGTCTCTCTCTCTCTCTCCCTCTCTCTGTATCTCTGTCTCGCCCCAGCCACTTCTCCCATCGCCTGCTGTCACCCTTACCTTCTCAGGCCAGGTGAGGAGTGACTGGGAGGGGAGGGTGAGGGGCGGGGCCAGCCAGTGATGGGATCACCCGACAGGGAGCCAGAGCAGAGGGCCCAAAGAGTCGTATGCGGGTCCGGAGTCGCAGGTTGCTGACACCTGATCTAATCTAAAAAACTACATCAGACTGACCACAGAACTGTACATAGAAGAGATCCATTTTTTCCTGGGTATTTTATCAGGTGAGATGTTACAAAGGGTGTGTGTGAATCCTTACGGAAGATACAGTATAGTAGGATATGAGCTGTAGTTTCGATAGCCCCTTGTCTACAGAGGCACAATCTCAGCTCATGTGGCATTTTTTTTCCTATCAGTCCTTCAAAACTGCTGCAAGAATTGCATTATAGTACTCTCAGTTCCTCTGCATGGATCACAATTCCAAACTGATCTCTCACCCGCCTGCCTTTTCTCCCCATCTTTGCTCATAAGTTATCTTCTTCTTCCTCCTCTCAGCGGCTTCCAGACTGATGACTGGCTCACGGATGCTTTAGGCATGACTAAATCTGGATCCAGTCCCAGTTTTTTTTTTTTTTGAGGGGGAGGAGGGGATAATGTGAACGTCTGCAGCCTTCTTGTTATAAATCACCTTCTTTTTGATCATGGAAATGGTATTTAGTTTGTAAGCAAAATGGGTTACCGGTAAAATGCGTACTTTACATAACTACGATAAGGCTTAAAGTATTGTTATGGTTCGGTAACAATTTCTTTGACTATTACTGGAATACACGGGAGTATTATAAATTTATAGGGATGTGTAAAATTGATTGTTTCAAGGACAGAACAGAATGACAGAGTTGGAAGGGGCATTGGAGATCTTCTAGTCCAACCCCTATAATATTCTGGAGAAAAGGCTATCCAGTCTTTTCTTGAAAACCTCCAGCAATAGAACCCGCAACTATTGGAGGTAAGCTGTTCGACTGATTAATTGTTAATTGTTCTCCTTGATATGAAATCTCTTCTTAATTCTAGGTTGAATCTCTCTTTCATAAACTTCCAAAAACAAAACAAAAAATTCCCTCCCCCGTATGTTTCAGCAGTTTTTAAAACGTAATTCTTCAAGAATTAGAAGCACAAGAAAAAAAGAACAGACTATTCCATGGTTCTCAGAAAACAGTGTTTTACATATCCTTGTATATCTTATCTAACCTTATGGACCACCTTTGCTTTCACTGGGATTTCTGGCTTCTATCTTTAATAAATACATATAAAATTTATATGTAAAACACATATAAAATTCCAAATTTTCATTAATCTGGAAAAGAAAATTGTACGAGTTCTTTTTCCTCCCTGGGGTAGGGGAGGTTTTTAGAACAATTTAGAACGATTTCTTTTAAATAAATCTAAAATCATTCTGCTTTATTTTTTCAAGATTATATAAGATATTGCCTACACCAGGAGTCTCCAACCTTGTCCACTTTAAGACTTGTGGACTTCAACTCCCAGAATTCCCTAGCCAAGGGGATTCTGGTAGTTGAAGTCCACAAATCTTAAAGTGGACAAGGTTGAAGACCACTGGTCTATACTGTTCATGAGATTGTTGTTCACATTTGCTGCATTAAATTTAAATATTTCTTTCGTTAGGGGACTTTGCCTAAAGTATTAGATTACTAAACATTTAATTGTAATCAAGTATATAAAAAATATGTGTTCCAAAGCAAAGTGGAATATATCCTGTGTCTTTCCCAAAAGGGACCAATGAATCCATGATAGTTCTTGTATTTCCAAAAATGGATTGTTCAGAAGTATGTCTTCAGACCCACAAACTACATTTGGCTCAAACAAGTCACTTCCGAAAATATACAAAGTACATGCAGTGCTTCAGCATCAGTGCTTACATACATAAATCAACCTTTTTCCTGGAGAAATAATGGGATAGTTCCAGAACCAGATTTCTCAAAAAGAAAACAGTTTTATACTTTTCCCACCAGCACTAACCGAGCAAGCCACTAGTATATAAAATGAGAGCAAACCCCATTCCCTTCTAGCACTGATGATATTATCTAGTTTGGTAAAGAAATGTCTGCAAGGAAACAACCAAACTTGGAGAGCATAAAAAACCCTACAGTTCAACCCTGAGCTACAAATATTCTCTTCCATCAGTTTTACACTTTGTTTATTAGAATTTAATTACTTATAAAAGCATAATTCAATACTGAAATTAAATTCAACGCATTTAATGCAGAACACTTTTTTGTCAATAAAGAGGCATTTATTCTGTCCTGGCCAGAAAGGCAGGTTCAGAGGGATGGAAGTAGTCATTCCAACTAAAAAAAAGCTTAGATTTGTTGACGAGCTCAAAAGCAAAGAAAGCACAGGTAGTCTTCAACATACAACTGTTTGTTTAGTGACCATTTAAAGTTACAATGGCACTGAAAAAAGTGATTTACAACTGGTTGCCACACTTGTAGCATCCCCAAGGGCCAAGTAATAAACATTCAAGCACTTGGCGACTGGTGTAATTCACTTAACAACTGTGGCAAAAAGACGCAACTCATGTAATAACTTGCTTGCTTAGCATGGAAATTCTGGCCCTAATTGGGTTGTAAGTTGAGGACTATCTGAACCTAACCATTCTTTTTCTTTTGAATATGTGAATGCTAAGAAGCCAATGCTATTAATTGCAAAGGAATACATTATTGACGATGACATTTGTCAGTAATTTGCAGTATTATTCTTGATGTAACTCCAATCACATCACTAAGGAAACCAGGCATTGTTCGTATTTTTTGTTATTATGAAGAATAACAACTGAACTCAAGAAGAGAGAGGCTTCCATTCAAATCTAATTAGTAAACACTGCCTTGGTGTGTTCTAAATTTATTTATAGTTACATCCTCTGGTCACTTCTAGCCAGAAGTATCCATTACTCTGGCATTTGGGCAATATACAAATAGTTGCACTGCTTAGACTGGAGGATGTAATACCAAATTAGTTTTCATAGTTAAGCATACTTGAGACTCTTCCCAGTGAATTCACCCCAAGGCGTGAATTGAAATCCGGACTTCCTTGGCTACTCAGTGTATTTAATGATCGATTGCTTCAAAGGATTTCAAAAGCCCTACCAGCAGACATGTCCTTCAAGACCAAATTCTCAAGCTCATTCCACTCGGTGTTCAGTCGTTTCATCAACTTGAATGCATTTACTGGATGTCCCAAAAATCCCTCTGGGTCCTTGGTTGCAGTATCTGTCAACTTATCCAATCTCTCAGCCCACCTAAGCATAGGAAATAAAAGCTTAGTAAAATTGCTAAGCCAATGCTACGAATAAATGAACACTTGCACTCAAACACGCACGCACGCACATACGTTATCATGAGGTATATATTTTTGAGTTTGTTCTTAATAAAATTAATCTTGTTTATATTTATTTTGTACTAGCTGATAACTCGGCGTTGCCCGGGTATTTATTTATCCCAATCCTGTATTAGACAGGAAAAGGACTGGCTCAACCACTGTGGTGAAAATTAGAGACTTAATTGCCCTGAACAACAGCCTGGGAAAAATTCTATAGGGAACAGCCTTTGAGGTGATTATCTGCATTAGCAGGCACCTCCTCCGACAACTTGCCCTCTTTGCTTGAAGCTGAGGGCCTAGGGAGGGAGCCCCCTTGTGGAGTACTGTGATGCCGTTACCATGGCAACTCCACTGTGCTGTACAGTAGAAGCCATTTTAAGGCACAACAGGCTGTATCTTAACAGAACTTGAATCCAAAATGCACAGTATCACTGTCAAAAGTATTGTGATTTGACACTATAGATATAATTCATTCCTTTTCATTTCAGCGGCCCAGGCATTCCAGAGTTATGCTGGAACATACACACACAGACGTACAGATACACCCACACCCAGAGGGGTGTTAGGGGTGTCTTACCCCCACAGTATTTGTTTCCAGAGAGTAAGTCATGGTTGAAATTGCTTGAGGCGTTCCAGAGTTATGCTGGAACATACACACATACAGCCATTTATATATGTGTATGTATGTATGTATGTATGTATGTATGTATGTATGTTTTCGGAGGTTTTCGCGGGTGTTTGTATGTAGGTCTTTGGTTATTTGGGTTATCTCCCACGTAAAATTGGAAGTGTCTTGGCGACGTTTCGACAAAGTCTCATTCGTCATCTTCAGGCTGGTGTTTTCGGCTTCGTGCTTCTAGGAGTAATGTGTGATCGCAGCTGTTTCTTCCTTTTAACTACCAGTGGGGGTGTTAATCTGCAACTCAGACTAACTCGGATTAACTCTGCAACTCGGGTTAGTCTGCAACTCAGACTAACCCGAGCACAACCAAGCCCCCTAAACAGAACACACCCCCATCCAATCAGAGCACAGCCAAACCCCCAACCAATCAGAACACACCTCCACCCAATCAGAACATAGTCAAGCTCCCACCCAATCAGTTCACACCCCCACTGGTAGTTAAAAGGAAGAAACAGCTGCGATCACACATTGCTCCTAGAAGCATGAAGCCGAAAACACCAGCCTGAAGATGATGAATGAGACTTCGTCGAAATGTCGCCAAGACACTTCCAATTTTACGCGGGAGAAAACCCAAATAACCAAAGACATACATACATACATACATACATACATACATACATACATACATACATAATATGTTTTCTCAGGTTTTCGCGGGTGTTTGTATGTAGGTCTTTGTTATTCGGGTCTTCTCCCATGTAAAATTGGAAGTGTCTTGGCTTTGTGCTCTTGGAAGCACGAAGCCGAGAACACCAGCCTGAAGATGACGAATGAGACTTCATCGAAACGTCGCCAAGACACTTCCAATTAAGGCAGCGAACGTATGCAATACAGTTTCCTCCTCCTATTTTCCTATAATAACACCCTGTGAGGTGAATTGAGCTGAAAGTGTGTGATTGGCTGGAGGTTATTTAGCCCAGCAGTTCCCCAACCTTCCTGGTTTCAGGGACCAGCTTCAGAGCAAAATTTTTCTTCCATGGACTGGCAGTGGCGGAATAGTTTCACACGTGCAACCTAGATCATGTGCACGCACAGATGAAGCTTCACTCACTCACCTGCCACTTGTGTGGCCTGGTTCCCAACAGGCTGCAGACCAGTACTGATCTGTGGCCCAAGGGTTGGGGACACCTGATTTAGTTGGTTTTCATAGCTAAGGGGGGACTTGAACTCACAGTCTTCCACTTTCTAGCCTGAAGTCTTAACTATCAGACCAAATGGCTCTGATACATTTCACATCTTATACTATATTATACTGTATAATATATTATATTATACTGTATATTATACTATACAGTATACTTATATACTATATTATACTGTATAATATATTATATATACTGTATATTATACAGTATAATATATACTGTATAATATAACTCTCCAGGAGTTCAAGGTGGCTTACATGAACAGCTCTATTTTACGCACTGTGAGGTAGATGTTTATGGAGATTCTCAATCATCCATGTCATGATTGTCCCAAAGGTGCTTTTTCCAGAAGGCAAGTGAACTTTCTTAGTTTTTTCTCTGAAAATGTTTCACTTCTCAACCAAGAACTGAACCGAACCCATAAACTGAAGAAGTTTATTGGATGAGAAGCGAAACATTTTTAAAGAGAAAACGAAGAAAATTCAGGTGCCTTTTGGAAAAAGCCGCACTGGGACATTGTGAGGTAGTTTGAGCTGAGTGAGTCTGAATTTACCCAACTGATTTTAACAATAGTCTGTTTTTTTTAAAAAAATATGAAACAAATAAGGAAATGAACCAGTGGTGGGTTTCACTTACCTTTGCTACCGGTTCGCTCGTGCGTGCTTGCTTCACTCATGCGCATGCCACTTCTGCGCATGTGCAGAGTATTTGATGATCTCCGGGTGGCTGAGCAGAGCCTCCCGCCACCACTACTACCCATTCGCCCGAACCGGGGAGAACCAGTAGCAACCCACCACTGGAATGAACCTCAGGAGCACTTACTGAAATGCCATTAACTTACTCTAGATATTTATCTCTGAAAATTTTCAATAAGCTTTTACAAAAATTGTAGAGAGAATCTTAGCCTTAAAAAATGGTAGATATAATTTTATTCACAAAAGAGCCATGAATTAATTAGGATAAGGTGTTTTTTTTTTCATTTTGGCTGATAGAACACTGCTAAATATTAGCATTCAAAGAATTACATACTGCCTTAATTGTTCCAACTTGCTTTCTTCTGCCTTGATATAGTCTTTCAGTGATATCACCAGGTCCTTTTCTGTATGAATCAAGTCTGTCATATGACCTAAAAGACAGATCAATACAATCAGTATGTTCATGAACATTGCGATGAAATTCTAACAGTTTTAGAACAGAAATTACAAAATTTTTAATAGTTTTAAAAGCCAACAAGTCCAAATAAGTAAATTTGCAGTTATTTTCTTGCAGTTTTTTGGGAAAAAAATATATTGTGAGCATTTTTCTTTTTGCTATAGAAGCATTAAATTAATCTTTCCTATTTTGTTAGGTAAGAAGGTTAGGTAAGAAGACTATTACCAGAATAAATTATAGCTGAATGCAAGCTGCAAGGCAGTGATCTATTTTGCCACTCATGCCTGGCAAATACAGCAAAAATAATTTCATACCGGCCTGCTGAGATTAAATTACCCCGGTATACTGTCCCAGATTTTGAATGCACAAACCACTTTCTCGGTGGCAGTTTTATAGCAGATTAACCTTCACTCATAGTTTTGCAGCTGTTATTATCTGTTTGCTTTTTGTAGTTCAAATTGTCATTTCATGGGCAAGTCAATGAAACATGAGATTTAGAATTTCATACAGATTAGTAAGCACATAGCTAAAACCTTACTTTTTACTCTTTCCAGCCTTGCCCTCATTCAAGTTAATTCTAGATATTAAGACTGCAACGCACGCAGGTATATCAAGAAAGCACAAATACTTTAAATAAAGCCACCAGTCATACATCTAATTTAATATTTGCTATCAGAATTGAAGACAGATGAATTATGTTGATTGTTTTTATAAGTTTAAATGACAAGGCAACTGACATGTATATTTATTGAACTGCGATAAAGTATAGTCACATCAATCGTTCTAATGTAAATAATATATCTAAGTAAATGTTGACATAATATTCTTTTTTTTTTTCCATAAGCAGAGTGGATGCCAGAAATGCCATGAAGCAGAACTGTCACATGTACAAACAGGAAGAAAAAAAAATTAAGATTATTTTTGTAATTTACTGATCGTGGATTGAAATAAAATTATTTATAGACAAAATGCTTCCTGCATATATTTACAACAATCAGATTATATGCCCAGCCATTTTGCTGGACACTGCAAAGATATTCACCACCGTATATTCAACCAATCCACACATATTCTTAGGTAGTTCTTCCTTTACCAATAAGAAGCAGTTCTAAAATATAAGCAACATAATTCATGTAAACTGGTAATAGTGTTTCCAATATATTTTTACTACTTCTTGAGAGCTTAAACCTACCTCATGTTATTATTTGCTGGTATTTTTATATAACACTTAAATTTTGTGACTGATCATGTTCCAGCCTTCAGCAGATGGATAACTAATAATCCAAGCAATTAATTTACTACACTTTTGGTGCGGTTATTGCTTAATCAGTTAGAAATGCTTAAAAACATCACTTACCAATTGAAGTGAAGAAATCTGTATGAGCATGAGAAGAAGGTAGTAGAATCCAAAGGACCAGAAGATACCATTCCCTTGAGACCGCCATAGTTTCACTATTGATTTGCCTTAACACACCTACAAATATAATTTTAATACAATTACGAAGAAAGGTTCATTTCTCAATTATCCAAACTATTTTCCCCGTAGATTTTCATTCTGCAAAATACATACATCACAATTTTGCCCTGAGCAATATTTCAATATTTGTCCTGGCACGACTTCTACCTCCTCCTTCAATAATTAAAGTGGAAAATATAAAGGCCCTTTTCAGAAAACTTTGGTGTTGAAGATTAGCACAGATAATCCTCACCTTACGACCACCAATGAATCCACATTTTTATTGCTCAGCAAGAGAGTTAAGTAATTTTTGCCCCATTTTACAACCTTTCTTGCCAACGTTAAGAGAATCACTGCAGTTAAGTTGGTTCAGAGGTGGGCAGCACATGAATTAACAACCGGTTTACCCCAGCACCGAAAATGTGAGCGCAGCTTGCACGCGGCTTTAAAAATGCAACTAAATAGGACAGCATAGCGCCAGGGCTGGGGGCGGGCCCACATGCTGGTCACAACTACCGGTTCGCGCAAACCGGCTGATTTCCATCCCTGAGTTGTTTGCTAAGTCTATCTGGCTTTAGCAACTGTTAGCAAACATGGTTGTTAGATGAATCCCCATTGACTCTGTTTGTCAGAAGGTCCCAAAAGGTGATCACATGACCTCGGGACACCGAAACCATTGAAAATATATGCCAGTTGCCAAGCATCTGAATTTTGATCATGTGACCATGGAGATGCTACAATGATCCTAAGTGTGAAAAATGGTTATAAGTCACTTTTTTCAACGCTTGTTTAACTTCAGTCACTAAACAAATGATTGTTAGTCAAGCAGTATCTGTAAACTAAATGGTTTACATTAAAATCAACATTTTGAAATCTAAATTCAAGCTGTATTTCTATAATCCATTCAAAGATAACAATCAGTTCCTAGATATGCCATTCTATTACCTGTGTGTAACACGGCATCTGCCCTTAACATAATAAATTACCGTATTTTTCAGAGTATAAGACACACCAGAGTATAAGATGCACCTACCTTTTTTGGTGAGGAAAAGAAGAAAAAGAAATCTGCCTCTGAGCAATTTTGCCTCTTTGCAGCAAACAGCCTGCTTTACTTTCATTTTCGTTTTCAGCATAGCTTGATTAGCACAAGGAAAAAAAAAATCTGCTCCAGCAATTTACCTCTTTGCAGCAAGCAGCAGAGCCCTGCGCAAAACAGCTGAGAGCAAATCAGCTGAGAGTCGGGAGACCGATCCAATTAACTTTTGCTAATTAGGATGTGCTGAAGCTGAAAACTGTTTTTTCTTGCTGTTTGCTTGCAAGGAGGTAACTGCTGCGAGGCACAGGCCAAAGGGTGGGGGCCAGTGGGTGGGCGGAGCTATATTCGGTATGTAAGACGCACCTAAATTTTCACCCCCTTTTAGGAGGGAAAAAGGTGTGTCTTATACTCCGAAAAATACGGTATCTGATCCAGAATAATGCAGTAAACAAGCTGCCAGATGAATCTATGAACGCTACAACCAAACATTTCTGGAGATACAACTTAGCAACTCAATGTATTTCGTTATTCCTCTGTAATAGAACTGATGATATAATGCTGTTGTGGTAAAATTTAATCAACCTTGTAATCCGCTCTCTTATTAAATACTGTAGACTTGGTTTAGGAGAAGTCAGTGTAAGGATTTGCTTATTTTCTCTCATTGTATACTTTCTACAACAGCCATTTTTCTATTAATGGTTATTCCAGCTGCAGTCCTATCAAATCATACTATGGTCATTACACATGAGTAATGTTTTATCTCCAGAGTCATTTAAGGCTCATTTAATATATATTGCTCCCTCCCTCCCTCTTTCTCTCTCTCTAGCTGCCTCTCTCATAAGCCCATTATTTCAGACATTCTTCATTCTTTCAACAAAGCTCTTGCAAAAGCATTGCTGAATTTCGCCCCATCTATGCTGGCATTTAGAAATGATGCAGCTATTAACCGTGCAAAGTCTGGGAAAGTTGTCTTGTTAAAAAAAAAAAAAGGTTCTCATCCTGGAATACCCATATCCATATCCATGAACACCTAAACAGTTTGAAATAGAAAATATAATATCCAAGATTCCATTTACTGAGTTTTAGGTGTGAAAGCATCAGGGATCAATCAAGAAAACAATATACAGCCCTTTAAACATATAATTCATAACTTTTTGCATTAACTGAATGCTGACATTTGAAAAGAAAAAAGAAAATTAAGAATGAATTTTAATATATCAGGAAAGAATAGGGTGCTGAAAACAGTGCAAATCAAAAGCAAAATTGTTCCCAGCCAACTTCTGGCAACCTAGCAGTTCGAAAGCATGTAAAAAATGCAAGTAGAAAAATAGGGACCACCTCTGGTGGGAAGGTAACAGCATTCCAGGCGCCTTTGGCATTTAGTCATGCCGGCCACATGACCATGGAGACATCTTTGGACAGCGCTGGCTCTTCGGCTTTGAAACGGAGATGAGCACTGCCCCTGAGAGTCGGAAATGACTAGCACATATGTGCGAGGGGAACCTTTACCTTTATGCCATGGACAAGAACTATACCTGATTTCATTTTATTTAGCAATAGCAATAGCAATTAAGACTTTTATACCTCCCCATGAGTGCTTTACAGCAATCTCTGGGTGATTTATAATATCACCCAACAATCAGGGTGCAAGATGCAAAGGAAATAATTGCTAAAATATATAAATTTTACTGAAATTTGAAACAGAAGAAGACATCAAAGAATGCATAATAAAGTAGATTAAAACTTTGGTTATAATATACAAATGGAACAGTAGGCAAATATGTGAAATCATTGAAAATTTTCTTAAGGGAATTTTTATAAAAGGACGTTACCTTTTATAAAAATAAATGGTATATAAATGGAAAAAATATATCCAGAATGCATACAAGTACTTCAAATTTATGTTGGAAATGTGAGCATCAAGAACAAGGTAATTTGATCATGCTTACCAGACATAAAAAAGCTAGAAAATATCTGGTTCTAATGCGTACATTGATACAGAGGATTTTAAAGATTAACATTCAATTGAAAGCAAAACTTTTACTCCAGGAAACGGTGGATAAACAGTTAGAAAAAAGCCATGAAATGCTGTTTTTATATATGATAACTACAGCAAAATTATTGTATGTACAAAGGCAGAAAGATCTGGCAATACCTACAATGGAGAAATGGTTGATGAAGACAACTGAACTTGCTGAAATGGCTAAATTGACTTGTTTGATTAGAGAAAAGACACTATCTACATTTATAGGTGACTGGAAACCCCTTATAGAATCTTTGTGTAAAAACAAGAACAATGAACTTATGACTTGTGGTCTTGATGATTAGGCAGGATACATTTTTGGAAAAAAATAGAATATAACTTGAGAGAGAGGGTAACTAAAATACAATTGTACTTATAACTGTTCTGAAGAAGAACAGAAGAAGATTGGAAGCCACTTCTTTATCTTTCTTTATATCTTTTTTATTCTATTTTTCTTGTACTTTTTACTTTCAGCATTTTTAGTTTTTTCTCTCCCTTTCTCTTTCTTCTTTCATTCCATCCATCCATCGATCCACCCGTTTTAAACTCAGTAAGAATGTTCTTTTGTTAGAATAGATAGGATGACTTTAACAAAACAAAGCAAAACTTTCCAGTATTAACTTTATCCAAATCAAGTTTTCATTATGCTTTAGGGATTTTATGATCCCTGATTGAAACTGCCACTGTACTGGTACAATGCAATCATACCGAATCTCCACTAGAAACTACCTATTCTCAGACAGCAACACCACTTGAAATTTCATACCATATTACACTTTTTCCCTCCAGAAAGATACTATAGAATTCTGCACTGCAATCTTGCTTTCTTCTAGGCATAACAATGTGTTTTCAACCAGGACCGCAAGTAATTTGCAGCATGTTCTGCAACATTGGGACAGCTCTATACAATAAGTAGTCCTTGATGTACAACCACAATTGAGTCCAAAATGTATGTTGCTAAATGAGACATTTTTAAAATGCCCTACTTTATGACTTTTCTTGCCACAGTTGTTAAGTGAGTCATTGCAGTTGTTAAGTTAGTAACCCGGTTGTTAAGTGAATCTGGTTTCCCAATTGACTCTGCTTGTCAGAATGTCGCAAAAATTAATCACATGACCCTGGGACATTGCAATATGACTATGAACCAGTTACCAAGCACCTGAATTTTGATTGCATGATCATGGGGATGCTGCAACGGTCGTAAGTGTGAAAAATGGTCATAAGTCACTTTCTTCAGTGCTGTTGTAACTTTGAATGGTCACTAAATGAACTGTTGCAAGTTGAGGACTACCTGTAAGGTAATGACTGATGACCACCTAATGTCTTCACCTCTGCAATTCTCAAAGATTTTGAGACCACAGTTGAATACTTAAATTTAAGTAGTCATCAATCCCAGTCTTAAAATGAGTTTAAGATCAATGGGAGTTACTAATAGAATTAGCTACTGATGAATGAACTAGCTACTGATAATGAGATCAATCCTGCCTTTCTTTTCCTTCTGTTCCAAGTTTTCCAAGTACTTTTTCCAGGCATATGCTTAAAATATTCCACAGTATACAAAAGATTATTGTTGGGGGAAAAACAGCTCTTTCAAGCAATTTTAAAAAACACTATCAGAATGACTTTTAATTAGAACATACAGTACATAGCAATAACACTTTGACTTATATACTGCTTTACAGTACTTTATAGCCCTCTCTAAGCAGTTTAAAGAGTCAGCATATCGCCCCCAACAATCTGGGTCCTCATTTTACCCACCTCGAAAGGATGGAAGGCTGAGTCAACCTTGAGCCTGGTGAGATTCGATTTGCCAAACTGCTGGCAACCGGTGATCAGCAGAAGTAGCCTGCAGTACTGCCACCGTGGATATCAAATTCAAGAAACTCCTAAATTTGCCCACTTTTGTCATTCAGCCCACTACATCTTGGAAACCCAGAAAATATTATGTCTAGTTTGTGG